TTTTCCCAATGTGTATATAAACCCGTTTCGAAGCAATGCGATATATGTCGATTTAGTAAAGGCATTAACGGCCAACCTCGTATACCCGCAGCCACAGTCCAAGCCGTGTATAAAGCGTCTTTAGTTACCTAATAATGTAGATTATATCTTATAAACATGGATATGGTAAAAGTATTACTACGCTTAACAAACTAGAATACATATATAACACGGCGGTCCACAATCCCTAACAATGGCGAATAGATGGTGTCTCTAACAAAAAGATTCACAAAGCGTGTGAAGATAAATGCGAATTTAACTAGCAAAGACACCTACCATTTGCCTTAACAGGGCTCTCTTATTAATAAAACGTATAGGTGAACTCAATCCGGTCCACGATGGCAGATAAAGTATTGCGTTAATATAACTTACAATTTTTCCTTCCAATGCTGGTGCTGTTATATATTTACCAAAAGTAAATGAACCGCTGAATAAACCTTCAATTCCCAAGCCATAGTCATCGCGGAAACTGATATTGTATAAGAAATCGGGATCATTGATTTCAAATTTTTGAGCTAATATCTGATCCTTGACCAAGTCGGAATCTTCGACATTAATGATCCATTCCATCGACGGCGCTGTCCATTTCCAATTCGTTTTAGTCCATTTGTCCATAGTATCCACGGGATCCGTAAATAATGGTGCTGTAAGAAAAGATTTCAGCTGCCCACTGTACGTATTTTCTAAAGTGAGTGTCGCAAAGAGAAGCGTTGCCAAGCAAACCCGTGAAGCAATGCGATGAAGACTACGGATTAGAAAAGATATTTAACATCTCTGATAAAATAGCAATCAAGCGGTTTTACAACTCTGACCTTGTATCTGCCGAAGGTTGCTGTATAAATACTGCAAAGACATCTAGCAGAGTTTTAAGAAAATGCTTTATAAATTTATATTTTTCCTTTTGAAGGGAACGCGTTGGTCGCAGACAATATCCTAAATATTTAATAAACTGAAATATGAATGAATATAATAAAATTGCAAAAGCAATAACAATCCAGGCTTTTAAGGAGAATGGCATAATAATGATGCGCCAGCGTGGGTATTGTCTAAAAAGTTGCAACAATTAATGGAGCAATCAAATCAAACAACATTTATTCAAATCTTATAATTACGATGGTCCTGGTGTCACAAATTTTATCTTTGTTTCGGCAATTTCGTGCGAGACTTCATACAAGTCATGATACCAATCATACATAGATCCGATTGCACATTCTATATGTTGCGCGAATAAGCCGCCAAACATGCCTACGCCAGTTCCATTATCATAAACATCGCCCCAACCATTTTCGCCGTCTAGAAAGAAATTTCAAAATATTTAATGGGAAAAAAAGTGTTCTACAGCAGAAGTTTAGCTAATTGCTGGCTTACAAGGTTGAACTCTTAAATGGCAATCGTAGTTTTGACAAAAACTAATGATTAATTCCGCTTCGGAACCAATGAAAGATACTGTCCGATTATGGGCTTGTGGGTCTATTGCATCCACGTTACCCGTTCCAGCCGGCTGTACGAAATGTGTATATGAATTGTTTACATAATATATATGTTCATATGTATACAAAATATACGTTTGTTAGACATGTCGAAAACTTCTAATAATGCCGGAGATATCAGTTGGCTAAAGGCATTAAGTAATTCAATAGCATCATACTTTGCCTGAATCAAGCAAACGCTGACAATCAATTTTGAAGACCAGTAACGCTAATCAAAGACATTAAGAATAGGAGTTTGCTCATAACCCTGAGTACACTTACATGGCGGCCATAGGTGGAGCAAGTGGAGACAGTCCTAGAAAAATGCACCATTTTTTTGCATTTTTTCTGGACACTTAAACATTCTTTTGAACGGAGTTAACGGTTGCCAAACGAACGATTATCTACGTTGTCCACGTTTTCTATAACCATCATCTTTATGTATACATCAGCCCACGTCTATAGGATATTTCGGGTATTTAAAAAATATAGTTGAGAATTGCCTAAGAAGTGGGTATCATAGAAACAACATTTCACTCGAGCTTGAAGGGGAAAATTACAAAAAGGGAAGTACTTTCAACAGCGTTTAAGCGGTAAGCTGAGTCAGCCGGTGTCGTTGTACCGCCTGATTTAAAATCTCTAAGTCTAATCGAGAATTTATGTATATAAAAAATAATAAAAAATCCGCCCGAATGACTGAGTAGGTAAGAGTCTCGACTAGTAACTCAATGGTCGTCGATTCAAATGTCAAGTGCGGTAGAGTTTTTAATAAAGCCGAAAGCCTTAGGTACTAGAATTTTAAAACTTTTGTCGTAGAATTTATTCTCTGGCTAAATTTATAATAATAAGAGCAATAAATCTAACTTATGAAGATAACTTAAAGAATAAACATTTAATAATTGAAAGCGTGAAGTGAGTTCCTTTAAGCGAAAAAGATGGAGAACTCATGGAAGCTATACGAGTGAAAGCGTGAAATTTTTAATTGTAGTATAAAATACTGGCTAGAAAAAATTCACCTCTCAAATAATTCTAATCGAATCTGAGTTAAATGTCATTCATGCCTTATATACATAAGGCAATGTACTAAGTAAAATATTCGCCATACATTAAGGATGAGTTTATATTGGTTTAACGAAGTGTTCGACTTAAGTCGGGTATAAAAATTTTCTAGTTTTTTTTTGTTACCATTTGCAAATGGCTTGTAAACGTAGAGCAAGTCGTTTTTAAACTTTCGGTAGATTGGCAACAAACCAAAAATACAAATATAAAACCAAATAAATCCTCATAAAAAAAAAAAAAGGACGAGAACAAAAAAACGGACGCAATAACAATCGTTTACGATTAAGTGACATTATATGCAAGTGCCATGCATATGCATATAAAAAAAAAAAAAAGACATGACAGCAAGAATTAAATTTCAAGCGTCCGTCCATATGTGTTTTTTTTTGTTCTTCTATATTATATTGCTTGACATACTACTGTAGAGTACCGAGTACAGAATACATATATTTACAAGACTTACCACATAATTAGTTGACGCGTATGGTAAGTACGTATGTGAGCCCATTCGTAATGTACGTCCATGTAGCTTTGTAAGTTTGTCCGGATAAAGGTCAGTGTTTTTGAGAAAAGTTCTTTCACTTGCAAGATAAGTATCCAAGTGTTTAGCATCCAAATTGCCAACAGTACCAACGTACTTTTGTGTCCACAATTCAAAATTAAAGTTACGATGACCCGGGCACTGTTTACAGTTTCTAAAGGCTGAAGTTCCATCAGATGTGGTTACTATACTTGTTGTTGTTTTGATTGTAGCATTACCACTAGACCATGATGTTTGTTTTACCATATTTTGAGCTTTGGATATACGATCGGCTTTGTTCTGTTTAATTTCATAGTTGTTATACTTGCTTCTGGGTACAATCATAAGATGATGTGGATAAACTAAAAAAAATTCTAATATCAACATTAACAGAAAAGTAAGAGAATATAAAATACTGAAAGTAGATGACCAGGTCAGGCGGTTAAACCGCAAAATAAAATCCTTAAAAATTTATTTTCAATAATTGAAAAATTAAGTTAAGCTATTCAAAGAGAATATTATCACTACTTTGTATGAACAACCAAAAACACACTGTTACAAATCCATTGCTACAAAGGCAAAATTGAAAAATTGGGAATCGAATTACTACATATACCCGCTGAACTCTCCAGGAACGAGTATTATCTCTCTACAGTAATCAAAAGAAAGTTTCAGGAAAAAAGACTGAGGTGAAATGGTGAAATTGCTGCAAACAGCGCGGCGTGTTTTCATTGTCTTGACAAATCGTTAGTAAGAACTTTGTAGTCGGGTAAGGCTGGCTGTTAAATAATCCACACCACATTATCTAACATAATTCTCATTATTGTATGAAATTATTATTACGGGTCATGACTTATTAAGGCTCCAACTTTTCTGTTCTACAAAGGATCAAATTTCGTGAAAATCCTTATTCTTAGTTTCTTACTTTTTGTTATGTTATTATTATGATATAATTATCATCATGAACCATCACTCAACAATTGCGACTTGTAGCTTGAGCACAAATTTAGATGAACAGACATAAGGCGGACAGACGGACAGACGGACAGACAAGCTTAAATCAATTCAGATAATGATTCTGAATCGATCGGTATAATGGAAGGCGTGTTTATTTCAAGTCCTTCTGCGCTTTACATACATCCGCACTAACTTAATCCTGTATCACAATTGATGTAGCGTATAAAACTTCGTCGAAATGTTAGAGCAGCGTTGGGTTACTTGTGTCATTCACAAAAGATATACGAAGAATAAAATGGAATTTTACAAAAATATTTCTATTTAATGCTTGCACTTCGAACCGATATATGATGTACTTCAACAAGTAAGGAAAATTGTTAACATCGGCTTCTGACAGGGAATAAGACTGCAGTACTTTTGCTTTTCTGCTTTAGGTGTTGGTGCTCTGCGTCTTCTCTCTCTTCATTAAGAACGGCATACGATCTTATGATTAGCCCAATAGGTAAGAATCGCCTATTTCTATCTCTTTAGTGACTTGTTTTTCACTACGACAGTGTTACAGGAATAGAGGCCATCCCCTGAGGGATTGTTCATATTAAAAAAAAAGTCATTACAATTTAATATATCATCTTCAGATGACAGTTCATATAAATGCCATAGATTTTAGTGTGACTTACACTGTAATAGTTCGTTGCGTAAAAATTCCACAGGATCTTCATGTTCACACAAAAACAAATAATATTTATCCTTAAGTCGTAGACGAGCATTGCGTGTAGCTGAGTAGCGTGCATGTAAGAAAGCTGTGGTATTAGTTAAAACAGTAATAAATCCCTAGGCGAACGCGAAGAAATGAAAAAATGAAAAGAGGAGTAAGTGAAAACAATTATAATTTTCAAGTAGTGGGAAAAAGTCGAGAAGTTTACCTCGGTAACGACGTTTACTGCATTTAAAATCACTTCTTCATACTGCGTGCTATTCATCGATCTAATGTCAATCCATTGTAACCTAATTACATGACCTCGTTGTGTTTGCTGATCAAACGTTTGCTGGACAGCATTCAAGTAGA